GTACCGCTCTGTGTGCGTACACTGTAGCGGCCTGTATGTGTACACTGTAGCGGTCTGTATGCATGCACTGTAGCGGCCTGTATGTGTACACTGTAGCAGCCTGTATGCATACACTGTAGCGGCCTCTATGTGTGCACTGTAGCAGTCTGTATGTATAAGTATATAGGTGGATGGGAAAGTCATGATGCATTTTTGCATAGAAAAATATATCCTGGGGACCAGCAGAGAGCATCATAGTTACATCGCTGAACTCCACGTAGTCAACTGTGGTTAGAGTCCCAGACCCGGGGGCTTAAAATTCACGCTGGTGCATGCGCATGTATGCCCACAATCCCGAGAGGAGAATGGAGGAGAAGGGATTGTGGCCTGGCCTCCCCCACTGGGGGAGCGATGCCTCACTTTTCGTCTCTCTTTGTCTCTCTGGTGAGTTCATGTGTCCTGTAGCAAAAATCTCTCTCTAAAAAAGAAAGAAAGAAAAATACATTATGACTTTCCCAATGACCTAATCATAATTTATTATATTATCCGCACCTTTTGGCATTCACTTAACTAACTCCCTTGGAGCTTGGGCAAAGGACTTGCTTCTAATCCATAGGAAACAGCAAAGGTAAGAGAATGTCGCTTCCACTGCTATCTCACATAACATTGTAACTCCTGTCTTACTAGCTGACTCTACGGATTCTTTCCCTTGCTGACTTTTTTTTTAGGTTCATGAATTAATTTCTTCTCAGCGAGGAGGCAGCATTGAGTCCCAGTGCTGCAATCCAGCCTCCAGTCCTTAGCCAGCCCTGGGTCTGGGGCACAGGTGTGCTCTGTGTACTGATGGAAGTCTCCAGACTTGAGCCAGGAACCTTCCCACGTGGGATTGTATCATGAGTGTGGCATTTTATATCTGTGCCACTCTCTGGACGCTCCCCTGCTGATTTTAATGAAGTAAGCCACCAAATGGAGAAGGTCACATGGCAAGGGACCCTCACAGACAGCTTACAAGGAACTGAAACCTGCTAACAATCACGTCAACTTCGAGGCAGACCCTTCCCCAGTTGAACCTCAGATGAGACTTCAGCCCTGGTTGGCACGTTTATCGCAGGCTCATAAGAGATTCTGAAGCAGCCTGCTCCATGAATAGGAGATAATAAAAGTGTGTCATTTTTTTGGAGAGATTTTTGCGATAGGGCTTGTAAACTCACTGGAAAGACAGAGAAAGAGAGAAAGAAAGTGGGAAATCAACCCAGGGGGATGGCTGCACTGCAATCCTTTCTCCTCTGTTCTCCTCTCAGGACTTTGGACATGCACGTGCCCAACATGAGTTTTAAGCCACCAGGCCTGGAACTCGAACCACAGTCTACTCCGTGGGAGTCCAGGATGGAACCATTACACCATCTGCTGGACCCAAATGTTTGCAATTTTTTTGGGGGGGCGGGGAGAGATTTTTGCTATAGGGCATGTGTGCTGGCCAGAAAGACAGAGAGACAGAGAGATAGAAAGCAAGAAATCACCCTCCCAGGGGGATGGCCATGCTACAATCCCTTCTCCTCCATTCTCCTCTCAGGATCTTGGGCACACACGCACACGTGCCTGGCATGAGTTTAAACCACCGGGTCTGGGACTCGAACTGCGGTTGACTATGTGGGAGTCCAGCGACATAGCCATTATGCCAACTGCTGATTCCCTCCAAATCTGTGTAATTTTAAGCTGCTAAATTTATATAAGTTTGTTATGCAGCAAGATATATAGAAATAACTTTAAGATTATTTTATTGTGCATATGCAAATGTGTGCGTGCCCCAAATCCCAAGAGAAGAATGGAGGAGAGGGGATTGCAGCGTGACCATGCCCCTTGGGTGGTGCTCTCTCACTTCCCTTCCCCTTTCTCTTCGCCCCTCCCTGTGTCTATCCAGCAAGTACACATGCCCCACAGCAAAAACAAACAAACAAACAAATAATAAGTTTCTTTCTTCCATGAGCAGGAGAGATGAGAGAGCGAGAGAGAGACTGAGAGACTGCACCCCTAACAGGGTCTGGACACTGCCATCCACCCCAGCCTCAGCTGTCCCCAGGTCATGCCACTGTCTTGTGCCTGGAGGTCCCCAACATAAACCTGGGACTTTCCCATGTGTGTCACCCCTACAAACTGTCACATTTTACCACGATGCCACCATCTGGTCCTTCAACTTAACATTACCTAGTACATCTACGATGACCCTATTTCCAAATAAGGAATACCACATTCTGAGGTGCTGCACTCGCTGGAGAGACAGAGACAGAAAGCGAGAGATCACTCCCCGCCAGGGGCGATGGCCATGCTGCAGTCCTTTCTCTTCCATTCTTCTCTCAGGATCTGGGGCTCGTATGCACATGTGCCCAGTGTGTTTTGAGCTTCCAGGTCTGGGACTTGAACCACAATAGGCAATGTGGAAGTCCAGCAATATAACCATTACGCCATCTGTTACGGGAACTTTGGGTCTTAAAGGGAACTTACACAAATGATGATCAGCAACTCTTCATCTTAGCTGGGAACAGCATACAAGAAATAAGCCAGACATGTGGGGCCAGCTCTGTGACTGGTGAAAAAGTCGGCCGCGTCTGCATGGCCAGCTGTGGAGTTCAAGTGCTGGACTCAGCGGCTTGAGAAATGCTGGTGTGTGTGCGTACGTCCATGATCCCAGCAGGAAGGAGAGATGAAGAAGGGATTGCAGTGTGACGTGACTAGGCCTTGTGGTGGCTGC